AAATTCAAGAATTACAGGTTTTATACCATTTTTACTAAATTTAAAAAAATTATAAATGGTATAAAACCTGTAATTCTTGAATTTTTTTAATAAATGGGCGTATACATTCGTACGTCTCTAGCTAGATTTGCCATGCTGTACTCTTCTTATGTGCCATCAGAAATTGTAAAACATTTTCATTTAATTTATAGTTTTTAAATTTTGATACATTGCCAAACATTAGTTTATTATCTCAAAACAAGAATAAAAAAGTATTAAATAGTTTCTTAATGCCAATATTTAAAAAGTTTATATGAACAGTGTACTGACCTTTTAAATTCGCCGGCAGTAAACTAGACTTAATTTAATTTCGGGTGTGAACTCTACCATAAAACATTTTCTTTCTTTCACTGTAAACAATTGCTTTTATATACGGTCCATTTTCAAGGGATACATTTCGATTTTCACATTAAAATTTGACATTTTCACCCGGCGCGCTTTAATGCAGATTTTCAAGTTGGTTACTGTATTGTTTTACAGATGTCGCTTGATACAAATATTTAATTTAAATTATTTTTAGATAATAATAAGTATTTGTCGTATAAAAAGTATAGTATGTAACTCGTTTATAAACTTTTCTAGACACTCATTTAATTGAATTCGTGTCCAAAATGGTGTTTATTAAACTTTATACATAATATAATAGTATATCAAATTTTGCTTTATTCTCCTGATGTCATATTTGCATAAATAGTTAAATACGTTTACCCAGTGTAACACTACTTTTTTAAATTACATTGGTGTAATGGTCATTACCAAATAAAAAATGTTACGCTGTTTACAAATTGGTGGCCAATCTAATAACAATAGACTTTTGGATGTGCCCTTGTAAACCGCTTAAAGGAATTTTTTCTATCGATTAATCGCGTCCTTTTTCAGCATCGACGACGAAATTAATTTACATTTTAATCAACGGTAATTTATAAAGACGTAATAAAATGTTAATGGCGAAGGGCATGTGTGTGTGTGTCGAGTTCGCTTTTACTCTCTACTAGCTACGATGCTACGTGGATAGTGTTTGGTCTTTCACGGCCATAAAATCGTTATGGGAGAGGACATTTTCACATACGCTGATTTTATAAAACACCACGCACGCCGGATCTTATCAATAATTGCTTTTACTACCATATACTACCACGGGCTCGCATATACATATGTATATCATTTTACATGGGAAACATGCAAAAACATACACTTAACCATTCAGGTCACAATGGGAAGAACATATACAAAACATTGCTATGCGCCTATCCAAATTATTATTTATAATACTAAGGTAACTGCCATTTAAAATACTCAACTTTAAATTCAACATTCCGCAGAACTGCGCTACGTAATACTTTAACCATTTAAAAAAAAACGTCCAAACCCTGAAGTGTCAACAAAGGGTTACCTACAGGGAGACATGGGCGTAGTCAGGGGGACAGGGGACACTACTAAATTGTTTGCCAATTCAATTATCTGTCGAAAATCACATTCCACTGTTTTGGCTATGGTCACTAAAAATCCAGTAAATTGGGGACAGCATTCATATATTAGGAGTGAGCTTTTGTGTTTAGTAAGGATTTACAAACTCATGCAGGGTGACAATTTTAATATTTTTTTAACTGATGACACTATGCAGAAACGTTGATTTATTTATATCAACTGATTTACGCATATCCACTGATTTAAGTTTGAACCAATTTGGCAACATAGCAAATTTTAAATGAAAGCAGATTTGTATCCTTTTTCTATGGATTTTTAGGTTATCTTACATATAGTTAAATATGTGTTTATTACATTATAAGAGTGATACATTTTTAAAATGTGTATATAAATATACACATAAATACATTTATAACTGACTTAACCTTATTATTGACAAACATTCGGTTTTATATAGAATTGGGCAATATAAAACACAACAATTGGGTTATGTTTGCAATGTGTTTTGTTACAAGTACTTAAATTTGCATTAGAAGGTATGAGAAACGAAAATTACGGCTTAAGGCCTCTGAAAAGAACAAAGAAATTTTGTTGATGTTGGTGAAAATTTTCTTCAAGTGTTTGTTCTTGTAAGAGATTAATTAATTATATTATAATTATAATAATTATATTATAATTATGATAATTATATTATAGTTATAGGAATACTAGAACTGTTTTTAAAAGGCAATGCTCTTTTACCTATTCTTTTACAGGAGGTGGAGCCTCGAAACTTTTTGTAGCATGCATATAGTTTACCCTTGCCTGCCACCCCCCTGAACAAAATCCTGGCTACACCCTTGCTGGAAATGGGGCAAGAATCCCTGCTTTTCTAAATGGTTAAATTAAACCCAATGAAAAAAATTCGGCAAAATATTTATGTAATACATGGTGTTTTACATTCATGGTCCATTAGGGGAACGGAAAAATATATCGATTTGAAATTCGATTCCATAATCCATTTAAGTCTATTTTTCTAAAATATTTTCCGGTTTAACCAAACGTGACGTCAACTTTGTTATTTAAAATATAACAATTTTTATTAAAAATGTATTACTAAAAGTTTAAAGTGTCCTCCATTTACATTCAAGCATTTCTTAATTCTTACTTCTAAATTAGACGTTGCTCTTCTTAACTGTTCTGGGTCTAATATTAGAAATTGACATAAAATTTTTAAACAATGTTAGGATTCCAAAAATTCCACCCCCTACATCCGCAAACATAATAACGCAAAGTTATAGGCCATAGATAACAGAGACTATAAGTTATAGGCTATTTTTGATTGACGCGTATTTGTCAAATTTTAACAAAAAAAATAATTACTCGCAAACTATTCACAGGTATATGAAATGGTTTAGTCATTTTACTCATAATTTTATGTAGAACTAAAAATTGTTGGAATTTTGTTCAAAATATTTTAGAAAAATGGACTAATTGGATTATAAAATGCTTTAAAAATTACAAATCGATATCTTTTAATGGACCACGAATGTGAAACACCCTGTATAGGCATATATGAGATAAAAAACATTTTAAATTTTTATTGATTTTGACCTTACATTTTGGGGGATTGCCCAAATGCAACTTTATATTATAGACGAAACCAAAAGAAACTTTTCATCCAAATTCACTCCTATTACATACATAGTAACAGATATCGACTTCCTTTATTTTGCCTTATTATTTTGTTGTTTTTGTTTAATGTGGTTGTTGTTTTAAGTTTACTGTGTACAGTTAGAGAAAACAAACAGGAAGGAGTGATGTATTGAGTTTCATTGCGGTGAATGAAACTCGAGAAATCTGAATCAAACTAAACTTGTGAATTTAGAAAACAAAATGGTTTCTCAAGTTCAGGTTTTTAATATCTCTTAATAGAACAAAATAACCCTATTAATTCTATTAATATGATATCTGACTGACATTATTTATTTTTTCTTTATTTTCCTTCAATTTATATCAAAGACAAGTTTGCAAATAACGCCATATATGTAGTAAACTACACACAAGCAGTCGAGCTTATAATTCATAAATAAATAAAAAATTATTCGTGCTTACCACATCGTTTAATTTAATTAATAGTTATTTATGTATTAAGGGCATAATAAGGTTTTTATGGTCCGAGGCGCTATTTCGAGCCCAAGCGCGTTAGCGCGAGGGCTAGAAAAGCGTCGTAGGACCATAAAAACCAGTTATGCCAGCAATGCATACAAAACTTTATGCACGATTAATATATTATTATTTTTAATATATTATTGTTTTTAAAGACGTTTACGTCAAAGAATTTTTGTTATAATTTTCATATTATAATGTCAACTGACATCAGTCAGTTTTAAAGTTTAAAGATGAATGAAATTGAGGAAGCAGCTGAAAAGGCGAAAAATTGCGGCCTGCTGCCGAAAAAATCAAAATCTTTATACGAAAAAACTTACTTCGAATATATCAAATGGTGTAACATTGTTGTTTTTAATTTTTGACGTTTCATTATAGCCCGCCGGGTCATAATAACGCCCGCGGGCTATAAAAAGACGTTTACGTCAAAGAATTTTTGTTATAATTGTCATATTATAATGTCATCGTGCATAAACTATATTATAATACAATAAAAGGGCAACTTTAAGTTATTATCTAAATTAAATTGATTTAAATAACTGTTTTAAGTAGCCTTATTTTAGAGTAGGTATAATTATAATAATTTAAACCTTGCAAGTGTCTTTCGTAATTATAAAATAGTATGGAGATTTGCTGTGTAATTATAATAGAATAACAAGTACAACATTTTTTGTTACACCTTGTTAAACATTAAAAATTATGTTTATACATGTATGCATACGTAATAACTACTGTAGCTTATTTTTACCAAATCCCAATTAGGAAATTGAAAATATTATTTTATAATGACGGTGAGAATTTATACTTCTATATCATACATTCTTGGTGGTCCCAAAATTATACCTTACAATTTACAATAATTACTTGTATTATGATTTTTTATGGTAATGATAATTATCGTGTTTATTTCTTAGAATCAATTTGTAAGAAGTTTTAGTATGGTCATCTTAAATTATCATTAGCGAACAATTTTTCTAATCCTGGTTAAACGTTCTATTGTAAAGTCAGGTATTTTATATTAATTTTTAATAGCAATTAATTCGTAGGTATATTATGTAAGAATTTTGATAAACAGCATTTTAGCCACGAGTTTTATTAATACAAGAGCGAAGCTTGTTCAATAGACGAGTGTCTAGAGAAATTTATAATTTTATTTCATTTTATGTTTTTTTAACTTTTTTATTAAGTCAAATATAGTTTTGGCCTTTTGACCCATTTTTTGAAAAGAAAATAAATTTAGTTTAGCAGCGAAATATAATTTAACATTTTTGCAAAAACTTTAATTCTTGTTTCTATATTACCTCATGGCAAGAAAAATGGGAAAATTTGACTTTTCTAATAAAAAATGGTATTTTCCAAATCTATAGTAATTCTAGTTCTCTTACCTGATCTGGCCTGAGACCTGGTGGAACCCAGGTATACTCCTCCAGAGCACAACCGGAGTCATCGTCACTTTGAGAATGTCTTTGGGGATCCCCGTTTTGCGATGGCTGGAAGGGGGAGCCCTTCCCCAAAAACCGATCTGCAGGGTCCAGGGAGGGCAACTTTCCCCCTGGAGAGGGCAAAGCCGGTGGGGACATGGGCCCGCTGATGATGCCCTCGTTGGTAGACATGCCGCCTTGGTCAGGCCAAGGACAATTGCGACATACGGATCTAAAAAGAAATAATTATTTATTGAAGTGTTTTGAAAAATGTTCAGCCTGTATTATCAGCTTTTGACTTTGTCGTGAACTTTTTATTCATCTTTAAACTTATTTTCGTATACAAAACATTTATTTACATGTCAAAGGTTTTATACTATTCCCTATAGCAGGAGCATTTCCTTTCAAACTCAACTCCCCATTCAAAGTCGAACTCTAAGTAATCAAACAAACATGACTGCAGCATTGAAACTTTGCAGACGTCTTATTTATCACGTCCACGTCACTTTTGTCTCTAAACCAGGAGACCGAAACAGTCTCTGAAATAGGATACGGCACTTCCTAATGCCGCTTCCTGCTGAAATGCCGCTGAAACTTAGTACACGGGGAAAATATTAAATTACTTTTTGGCCGAATCTAAAGCTACCAAACTTACTATAAGCCACTGTTGATTTTTTGCGCAGATTGAAAAATGCTTTATGTTAAAGTTGGACATCCTGCAACCAAGATAAAAATAATCCTGCTATATTCAGCGTTGATTGAATTTCGCTGCATACAAAAATACATAATAAGCAATAAATATTGATAAGTTTGGTAGCAGTAAAGAAAATTAAACGAGTTTTGCGCATTAAAAATCTGCTTGTAAATATGTGGTTAATGATATCCATCCTGTTTTAACGTTAACAACTATTTTACATAGAAACATATACACATTCTAATTTTACTTTTTAACATTTAATGTAACTGAAGACATAATGTTGACGATAAAATACATTGTTTCTGAATCATCCTGTACCATAGGTCAGACAGAGCAACATTAAGTGAGTTGGTGTAATGACGTCATCAACGTAGAGGAAATTAAGCCAACTTGCTCGGTAATTTCATTTTTAGTTGATAAGTTAAGTCTTAAAGTTGTAAAAATATGGATATCATAGACTACTACATACCGGTGGAAAAAATCAAGAGAGAAAGACATCTCACTTTAATTATATTTGTGCCAGTGTTTATGGTGTTAATTATAGTTATATGTTTATATGTTGACAAAGGTAATATGATGTTTTCTTTATGTATACAAGGTATACAAATTTATGATTTTAGAGTACACTTTCTGCCAAACCAAAGAATGCGAACGATCAGCGAATTATATACAACAATTTGTGGATGAAACACAAAATCCCTGCGAAAATTTTTACAACTACGCTTGTGGGTCGATCTTCAAAAACCACAGAAATAATTTTACCAATACAGTTGACATAGAGTGGCAAAAAGTACTACAACAACTAGCCAATTCAATTGAAGGTCCCATATTGGAAAATGACTCGACTTCCGTGGTGTTACAAAAACAATTCTACAAATCTTGTATGGACGTTAATGCTATAGAAAAAGACAATAATACAGTTATACTAAAAATATTTAAAGAGTTGGGTGGATGGCCTTTATTGGAGGGTAAAAATTGGAATGAAAAAGATTTTGATATTTTCAACATGATGATCAAAACACGACAAAAGGGTGACTATTTTGAATGGTTTTTGGATATCGATACAGAAAAAGAATATTTTGATCAAAATAAACGAGAAATACTTAGGGTACTTAATTTTTTTTTAAACATTATAGTATATATATTTTTTTAATTTTCAGATCGATTTACCAGAAGTTAATAACATGGACAACAATTTTATACCAGAGTATTTGGAAATATTAGTTGATATAGTAGTTAGTTTGGGAGCAACAAAAAACCAAGCTTATGGTGAAATAAAGTCACTTATAATGTTTGAGAAGGAATTATCGGAGGTATATCTCGTAATAAAACAATATTGTTAGTTACACATTTTGTTTAGATTATAGATGAAGTCCAAAAAGTGGATACGAATCACCCAAGAATTTTCACTATAGATAATATTAAAACCACATGGCCGAAAATATATTGGCAAATGTTTTTAAATAATATAACACAAACTACTTTATCAAACAATGATAAGGTGTTATTTTCTGTTGGAGATTATTTACCGAAATTGGGAGCGTTATTGCAAAAAAGCGACAAAAGGTTGCTAATGTAAAATCATTATAACATTTTTATCATTAGAGTAAAATTTCAGGACACAGGCAAATTATATTCTATGGAAAATTCTAGAGAGTTATACACCGTATCTAACAAAATCTCTTAGAGAAAAAATACAGAAATACAAAAGGCGATTAACCCAATTTACAGAAGATATCAACATTGAAACCAACAGAGCAAAATTCTGCTTCAAAGAAACAAATTCATTGTAGGTAAATATGTTAAATTAAAACTTAAACATTTTCTAATATAAGTATAGTTTTCAGTATGTACCAGAAGCAGATTTTGCCAGAAAACACGCAAATGACGAAAAATTAAAAGACGTCAAAGAAATAATCGAGAATATATGTTGCGCGACTCAAAAAGCTATACAAAATTGTAACTGGATGGATGATGAGACCAAAGAAAAAGCTCTTATTAAGTTGGGAAAGATACGGTATATAATCGGTGCACCAAAAGAGGTTTTTGATGAAAAGGAGTTTAATAAAATCATTGGAATGAACATGGTATTACATGGCATAGTTTTGAGTATATTTAAATGTGTATTTTGTATTTTAGGTGAAGTATTATTCATTAAACATAATAGAAATTAATAGGGAACTTCATCGAAGATACAGTGACCATAAGTTCAATTTTGAGAAGACTAAAATCACTATGGAAAAAATGCAATTTTACTCATCTATGGCATTGGTAAACGCTCAATTTTTAGTGGATAGTAATACAATGTGTAAGCTATCAAACACATTCACAAAAATATTCTAAACAATATTTTTATTGTAGTGATTCCAGCCGGAATACTTCAAGGAGAGTTCTATTCGAAGACCAGACAAAGTTATTTGAATTATGGCTCTTTAGGAGTGATTTTGGCTCACGAAATGGCCCATGGATTTGGGATAGAAGGGTCTATGTACACTGAGGGGAATAAAACAACGAATTGGTGGTCCAATCATAGTAAAAACAAGTTTTTTAAAACTGTGGAATGCCTCTTGAAGAATTGTAGCACAAAAAGCAAAGTATGCATACATGTAGACATTTTTTAATATTTAATACTATACCTAATAATATTTTAAAGGTTGACTGTAAAACAATGCTGGATGAAAATTTCGCAGACTATGCTGCGGTAAAAATAGCGTTCCAAGCGTATCAAGAATGGATATCCAAAAATGGTGAAGAGTCATCACTACAAGGTTTTCAATATGATGATCCCAATCAGTTATTTTTCACCAAGTTTGCCACCATCATGTGCCATCAAAGTTCCGCAAAATCGACATGGAAATCGAGTAAAGAGACCATACATTTATCACCAGATGAAAGAGTTTTTGGTTCATATAGAAATTCACTGTATTTTTCAAAAGTTTTCTTTTGTTCAGAAGGGAGTGTTATGAATCCCACAGATAAATGTGTTGTGTTTTAAATTACAAAGACTGATAATAATATTAATAATAAAAGTATACCCATGTTTATATTGTTATTAATAATTATAACTACAAGCTTATGCAACACGATTTAAGATATTTTAATTACAAAAACTATTTACATGAAATTATGGCTTAATGTATAAATATTACCATAAACATATAAATACAAATTTTTCTTAATTATTTAATTGCTGATATTGGTGCACTCACAATTAATCGCAAATGCGTTTTCTTATAATTTTAATTAATACATCCTGTATAATCATATTTATTCGACTGGTTTCAAAACCTGACAAGTCATTTTTATTTTGCTATTATCTAAATAAACTTGAAAAATGTGATTATTTTCTTAAAGCCCCAGATTGACTATACAATATAAGGAATATAAAATAATATTTTAAAAATATTATAAAATATTAAGCAAAATACATACTATTTTTAAGCCTAAAACTTACACTTTTTTGGATATTTCTAGTTTTGAAACCATCCAACTTAATTAATATATCCTGTGCATTCATAATTACTTCAATCCCGTTAATTTGACACCTACAATCTTATGAGCCTGGCATTGAGACCAAAAACTTTTCATCAAAATTTAAGCTAATAGAGACAATTTAAAAATGTGTGTATATTAGTAGAAATACACAGTCTTAATAGGACTAATTAAAACTATAATTATGTCAAGTTACTCAGTGAACTAGTTAGTGTGCTAAAGATAAGACATGCAGTTTTGGTAATTGTGTAAATTGTGTGAAACTAATATTTTGTTATTTAAATGAATTTTTTGTAGTGGTTTCTTAAGAAAATGGAAATACCGCTCCACACTAGAAAAATGTTTAATCATCATAGACCTCATACTGATTTTAATGTTGATAATTCTTCTTATATCGTATTTATCTCAAGATCCCGGTAAGCACACATACTTAATTTCTAATTAAAACTTTAATATATCAAATATCGCGTCAGATAAATGAGCTAAATTGTGATATATAATAGAGAGAAATTCCTTTAAATACCAAATGCATTGCTAATAATTTAACATCGACATTAACTGCTTCAATTAATTTGAATTTATTATGCGCTAAATCTTCATTTGAGAGTTAATTATGATAAATCATCTTTAATAACAGAAAAATCAGTTTGCACCAACCCAGAGTGTATAAAAGCCTCAAACCACATACTGGATATGATAGACGTAACCGTGGACCCTTGCGAAGATTTTTATATGTTTACATGCGGTACATTTTTGAGAAAAGTGGACAACCCAAGATCCTCTTTAACCCCATTATCAGAGTTGGCTAAATCTCAACTCAGAAGCATTGTAATGAGTCCTGAAAACTCGAACTGCTCTAAAGGAGTAAAGCTACAACGACAATTTTGGAGGAGTTGCGTGAATGAGTTGGATATTGAGGATGATAACTCGGAAACATTTTTGAGTCTTCTGGATGAAATTGGTGGTTGGCCACTACTAGCTCGTAGACCATTTGATGGCAATTTCGACTGGATTGAAGCTATGTTGAAGTCTTCCAAAATTGGTCTTGACTACGATTTTTTTCTCAGCATTAAAACCACTGTTGATGTTAATGAAACAGAAAAAAATATCCTATTGGTAAGTATATTATGAGATTATAAACAGGTTTCTCAACTATTTTTATGCATAGATATCTCCTCCATATCAACAAAACCTATTTAAAATCGAGTACCCTGAATCAACTGTTGAAACCATGAAAGATATTGCGAAAAATTTAGGTGCCTCATCATTAGGAGTATCAGCTGATATTAGAAATGTTGTAAAATTCGCGGAAGAATTCAACACAGTAAAAATCGTACCATCATTAAATCACCATTATTTATAGTAGTATGTTTTAGATTGTTAATAAAGCTTGGAATACCAGCAAAGATGACCCAGATGATCCAATCCAAAACATCAGCATGTTAAACCAAAAATACATGCACAAAACTTGGATTGCTTTGCTGAACGATTTAACTGATGGTATTGTAAAAATTGAAGACAATTATTTAGCAATGTTTAAATGTGAGGACTATCTAAGAGACCTATACTACTTGCTGGTCAGAACTGATAAAAGAATTCTTGCCAATTATGTGGGATGGTATCAATTGTATAAAAATTATAATTTCCTTAAAAAGGACTTGAGGGAGAAAGTAAAAAAGGCATTTAATGTAAAAACAAACGATTTAAATAAAGAGCGAAAAGAGGAATGTTTCTGGATATCAAGAATATTGTAATCTACACTAGTACCCCTAAAAATATATCTAATACATAACATTGTAGCTTTCCCTATGTAGCTGAAGGAGGTTACATACGAAAATATATGGATAAAAAACGCATAGACGACATAAAAAAAATTCTACACAGCATTAAGGAACAATTTTTGATGGCCTTCAAATACAATGAATGGATGGATGATAATACTAAAAAAATGTTACAGGAAAGAGCAAAAGAAATTAGTGAGGGTATAGGATGGACGAACATGGTTTATGATGAGGTCAAATATGAAGAATTGTTGGAAATAAAAATGGTTAGTTTTGTGGATGTGTTTTTAAAATATTTTTTTGTTTTTTTTTGTAGAGAAAGTTTAAAAATAGCAGTTTGATGATGATGACAACAGAATTGAGGAGAAATGATATGGTTAAACTATATGGTAGTCTTAATAAGCACCAACTGGATATACATTTACAAGCTGAGTTTCCCATAATTGATATAAATGCATACTTTATTCATGTAGCTAATATATTAAGTATTTTACTTTATATAAACATCAAACAACATAATTAAACATTTTTTTTCAAGTTCTACCAGCTCCTATTATTAGAGGTTTTATTTTTGACAGCGAAAGACCAAATTACTTAAATTATGGCGCTCTTGGCAGTATAATAGGCCATGAATTAACACATAGCTTTGCAATAAACACAAATCTAAAGGACGAGTATAACTATACATGGATGACCAATCAATCAGAAGCAATTTTCAACGAAAAAGTACGATGTGTAATAGAGGAATATAATGAATATTTAAAAGATCTCAACATAGAAAAAGTATGTTCTAAAATAATCAAAATTTCCACTAATAACATTATTTTAGGTTACCAATACTTCAGGAGAAGTAGACGAGAACGTGGCTGATATAACAGGTCAAATTATGTCGTATAGATCGTACCAAGACTTCGTGCAAAAGTATGGTAGTGAACCAAGTTTACCTGGTATACACTTTACTCAAAACCAAGTGTTTTGGATAATGTCCAGCACATATTTTTGCTATAATCCGAATAAACCTGGTGAGTTACATAGTAGTAAACATCATTCTGATTCGAGGCTTAGGGTTTTGGGTGCTTTAAGGAATAACCCTTATTTCGGTGAAGATTTTGGTTGTCCTGTTGGGTCTAGGATGAATCCTGAAAAGAAGTGTTCTATTTTTACCTAGAAATTATAATAAAATAATGTTTTATACGATGTGTTGTCTTATTATAAATGTTCAGTTCTTGTGTAAAAAATCTAATTTAACATGATATCTAATTAGAAATTCGAAACTTGATTATTATTGACAATGATTTAGTGTAACCTAATTCGTTGTGGAATAGATCTGGGTTTTAAAGTATCATTTGTTTATAATATCAAATTAACTTTGAATATAACTTAATAACAGGTAACAGGCACATCCTAAAACTAAACAGAAGCATCTAATTGGTTGGAAAATAAGATAACGTGGGAACTGTCTATGACTAAATGGTGGAACAAAAAATTAAATGTAATTAAGGTGTGTAATTTTATATTTTTAAATATGTTTTGATGACATTCAGTGTATTTGAGATGTTGTTGATGATTCAGATAAATGATATGACCCGTAATAATGAATTAGAAGTGAGCAATAAATAATATTGCCGTTGTATATGTGAACAATTGTTTGTAAATAATAAATTTGCTAATATATTATTAATAGCCCCTATCTATGAAAACACATCTGCATTGTGAGTATACGTATTATTAACTGCGCAGAGTTAAATAATGTTTCTTAAAAAGGAGAAAGCATATTGAAACAATTTTAAAAGGATTTTGTAGACTTGGGTAATTATAAAATAAAATTCAAATTTCTTGATGTTTATAACAGCTTACTTCACGTCCACCAGGATTTTTTTCATATTCCAAAATAGATTATGGTTGTCTATGATTATAGTTGGTAACTGTTTTTTGCATAAACAGTTCTTTTTCCATTAGATATATTGGGAAAAATGATGGTAATTTTAATGCGGATTTATATTTGCGGTTTATGTTGGCAGAGAATCGTAATTTCAGTTTTCTAGCGGGACCGTCGCTTTATCGACGCTAATGCGGACGATTAAATATACCGAGCGATCGGAACGATTGGTAAAGTAAGATTAGCCGCGGGATTATTGAATATTATTAGATGTAAAAGGACTGAAGCGAGGTTGCAAAAAGAGTTTTATGCGTCACGATTGCGTTTAAAGACATTGTGATTCATTTTTTAGATTTTACGTTTTCCGTTTTATCAATATTTACTTGAAAATAGTTTTTAAATATATTTATGCAAGTAGATATACAGGGTGGCCCATCGAAAACAGTCCATCAGGGTTAAGGCTTTGCATGTAAAAATTAAAAAAAATTCGTATCCGTATACTTTTTTTTAGTCACCCTTACGTTGTGATACATCTTTTGAAAAGGTATTAAATTTTCTTTAAACTAAATTTGTGCTACGGGTTGACAAGAAATTTAATTTAATTTTATTGAATTGTACTTACGTATTATCTTATTAACTGTTAAAAATGTCCGCCGTTCACCTCCATACAATAGTACAGCAACTGTTCAAAGTGTTCCCGGACATTGTGAAGAATATCGTGTGTATTTTTTTGGCATTCATTAGTGATGCGGTTCCGTAAATCTTCTAAGGATTCAGACTGGTTGGCATAAATTTTGTATTTCAGATGTCTCCACAAAAAAAAATCTTCTAGGAAACATACAGAAACTGCCGTACAGTAACGGATAATGGGGAGGAGTCCCATCTTGCTGAAATATCGGATTTTCTTTATGGTAACGTTGGTCGTTTTCCATAAATCCGCGCTGGATTGAGGGTATTCTCAAAAATGTTTAAGTAGCTACATTTAAATTTCTCGGTAAGAACGTTTAAATTATGAGGATTTTGAGGACCAATAACGACAATTATGACGATTGACAATGCCATTGAGAAAAAATGAACATTCGTCTGAGAAGCAAACATTAAAAAGGTAGATGGGAATATTTATAATTATTTCGGACATTATTTCACAAAATTGCAATTCTTGAAGAAGTTGAATGTTATATGGGTGCCATTTATTATGTTTTAGAATTTTCTGCCCGCGAAACTTCGGTTACATCAGAAAGTTTTCTGGTACTTAATGTAGGGTCCAAAGTAATTTCACCCAGAACATCTATTTCTACTACCTCATTTCTTACCGGATTTTCAATATTTCGTTTTTTATTTGCCACTGAACTGGTTTGCAACCAATTCTAGATTATAACCATGAATCATGGTCCATGATGTACGTCTATTTGCATGCTTCTCATTAAACAAAGTTGCCGTTACTTTTGCACATGAATTGTTTATAAAATACTATATTCTATAGAATAAACCATTTTTTCTACTACCTTACAAGAAAACTTAATTTTCTACCCCCGAGGGAAAAATTTTCCTCCCTCTTTTTTTTTAACAATTTTACATTAGCAAGAGTTTTTGTACCTTGTCTAGCCCTATTTGATTTTGTAGGAAAAAGATTTACTCCGCGCTTGTCCAACCATTCTTTGAACAAATTATATTCATTTTCATGTCGCTCTTTCGATTTTTAAGGAAATTAATTGCAACTATTCTTGCGACTTTGGCAAGATCTTGCGGCAGGTCTTCTTCGCTAGAACTCATTTTCAAAACGTAGGAAGAATTTCAAATTTATGATAAACATTCTGACAGCTTATAAAAACTGTTGTTTGTTTTAACAAAACTACCATAGCAACAAAGCGTTGTCAACATAACGTCGGCGACACCTACTTAATATTTTGTCATAATTTTATAGCCCCATACTGGGTTAGTAAAAGGAACCGGAACGCTTAAAATGTCTTAAAACCTTTAAAAGGTAAAAAACTATACATACCTCAGGAGGAAAATGCGTTTCCTCCCTTGAATATTAATGCCTTTACGAAATTTGTTAATAAGCGGTCCAGTAAAATGTTCGGAATTCCATTGCTCGGTGACACGTAGCTCAAATTTAAAAAAACGAAGCGATATTTTAAAGAAAATTGAAGGCATTTTTTAAAAGATGTATTACATCATACCCCATTTGAAAAAAAGGCAGAATGCCGCCCCGCTAAGGGGTTGATGTTACAATGATAAAATTAATGTGTTTTAAAATGTCCCCCTGAAAACAAAAGTATTCGGGTCCGAACATTTTTCTTTATTTTCACATACAAAGCCGTGGACTGTTTTCGATGGGCCACCCTGTATGCGTTCCCATATGTATTTAATTTTAAATATTATCATTTTAACATAATTTCCATTATTTTGTCTTCCTACATAATAACATAATTGTTATAATTATTTATATGAACAATAAACTAGAATTAAAGTTTAATTATTGTTCATTAACTTTAAAATATAAAATCCAAAAATAATAAGTTCCCACAGACTAAATACAAACCAACGTTTCCCTTATTCCCACAAAGAGCATAACAAATAGGTCGAACCACCAACAAAAATAAATTAATTTAATAATTCCTTACAATACTGGAAATTACAATGTTACACATCTAATTACAAATTACTTTCACGTCCTTTTTTTCATTCTCATTCTCATTCCGTTGAAGCTTGCGCTACAAATGTAAATTTAATTGACCATGATGGGTATTAACTTTTCTAATAACAGCCGCATAAAAGCAACATGAAAAGATAACAATAATTAAAATTAGCCGGTAATTAGATGTGGATTATAAATCTGGTATTTATACTATGAGAATGTTTTTAATAAATACCTCTAAGCTCGGAGCTTTCGATAATGTTATGATTTTGTACTAATGCACATCCTGCCTTCATAGATTAAAAATTCTTCGGATAAAAGATATGTTCTCATATCACGGTTACAGAATTCCTTAATTTTTTCCCAATTCCGATGATATTTTGCTTTGCTTTCAAAATTAATTTTTGTATAAAAAAAATCCATTAAGGTCAGTTTCCATGGTGCCTGTAATGTTTATAAAATTTAACCATACCGCATCTCATAGATTATGTTTCATGTATGGAAAATTTAACGATTAAATTGTAATATAAAATTTTGCTGTCTTGGTTTTATCATTGTTAAGTGGTTTCTTTCACAATGAAACTCGTTATGTTAAAGGCATTGGTAAGCGATTTATTCGTTATAAACGATGCAAAATTGTTTAAAATAAATCTTAAATCAAAAACAATTTATTGTAATTGCAAAACTCTTACTTCACCTTTTGATTGCAGTAAGGCGATCTTATCTTTGTATTTTATTTATGAAATTTTAGCGTGCAAATCTGGATTTAAATTGATTAAGTTTTAAGAGATTGTTATGTAACCTACTCAAGTGTTAAACTGGTTTCAAAACCAGACAAATCCAATACTTAGATAGTTTAAAGACATTTTCAGGCAATTATAAGAAGAATTATTAATTGTTTTTATATCAGATCAATTCTTACTTATAATTGTTTCGTTCTTTAAGAAAAAATAGGGATATAATTTCATAGAAATTAATTATGAGAAGCGATAACCGGAGGGCATGAAAACGGAAAATTGTTCTTGAAGGAATTTTCTCAGTAAGAACTGTTAATTGGAAAAAGATATTGTTGTTGAATTTCGTATCACAAAACACAATTTTATGAAAGCAATTATAACATAACTGTTAATGGTAAGTATGGATAACAGTAGAGTTGGTAGATGTCGCCATATATTAATTTAATTAAGTAAAACAATTTTAAAGGTAAAACGTGTGTTAAAACAAACGGAAAGAATTCTCCATCAATTACTGATTCTATATACAAAGCAAATTATGTGACGGTTCCATGAAAATCCATTTAAATGGTATTGGTTCTTCTTAGAGGAATAAGGAATTTTGCAAATAAAATTTAATTAAAACTAAATCAGCTTGTCAACATTCACCACTGGAAAAATCGTGGTTAAATTTCTTCTTGGATTTATTCAGTTCTAAAACAGTTTTGAGATGGTTTTATCCAGTTCAGTCAACTACCCAGCAAACAGATATACGTCATTCAGACGTGATATATTTGTCGTTTCATGACGAATTGACGTTACAAAATGATCTATATAAGTCGTACGTAGGACGTGTCAATGTCACATCATAATTACGTCTATTAAAGACGTATTTATGGAGAATTAATTGACATCTAATCGACGAGTTTTCGTCGTTAAATTGACGTGTTTTTTTGTTAAATAA